AATATTTAAACGGCTTACCGCGAACCTCACGTGCCATTTAATATAGAGCTAATTAAGTAGAGAGCAGAATTCCGTATTAGAAGTCAAATGTCGATCGAAATACATCTCTTTTGACGAAGGTGTGATTTTGTTGGCAACACCGAGGAAGAAATCGAGAAAAAATTGTGTTCGTTTTTTACCACACTACCCACATTAATAGGTATTTATTCAATCAGGATCATTAATTAAATTCTTCATATTTTTACAGTTCAGATAACTCAAGGTAGAGAATATCTTTTTCTTTTTAGGATTCGTAAAAATAAGATATTTTTATAATAATTTCATCTTAATTGTGGCTACAAAAATAGTCTACTGTTCAAAAGAGTCCCGTACGTTAAAAAAAAAAAAAAAAAAAAAAAAAAAAATTAAACAAAGATTCGCACAGTTTCAGCATAGGAAATTTAAGAGACAATTTTGAACGCACCTCGTATGCACTCGTCACGTTTACCGATCCCGTTTTCTAACGTCACGATCTTAAAATTCACTGCATAGAAAATGGACGAGATATACCACGACGCGGATGCAATTAGCCAAGAGTCACTGCACCCGATGAACCTTCCCGGAAAGTCACGGCGATAGTCGTATTACCGGAGCGATCCGCATCTCCGAATCTATCCGAACGAGGTCGTCGTCTTTTTCAAGTAAATTATTAATTCGTCTTCTGCGGAGATCCCGTCGCGATCGTTAAATTATATCTTCATTACAGTAATGTAAACGTCACTGTAGTTTTAGAACAAATTTATTTCCGTACGAGAGTTGAATTTTTACGTCACGCGAGATCACATGTTACAAGATAATTAGATTTATTCGGAATCATCGGATTCCAGCGAAATGACTGTAAGCGCGATGACGAGATAGAGATGGAGATGACGTCGCGTCGCCGTGAGATCAACAAACGGGACGAGAGAATTCATTCAAGTCGGAGCAGGTTAGCTACTTTTATAATCGGAATAACTAACTGCTCCTCGCACGTGGGCGTGATAACCCGTGTTATTTCTGTAAAACATGCGAAGGGAAAACTTCGAGTTTGTAACGTACATACATAAATTCGAAACCTACTTTCAACACGTCCTAATTAGTGTTTTAAAGTGAATTTAGTCTCGGTGAAAATCATCTTGCTTATGAACGTGGAAAGTGTTATAAGACGGAATACGAGTCTGATCGTTAAATTTTAACATCGGACGTCGTGATCATTAATTGAAAAATGAATGAAAAGGCGATCAAGTCGATTATTGTGAAATAAGGTTAGAGAAAAATGTCTTCCACGCGAAGATATTTATGCTTGAAATTTTTTTAAATTTTAAAATTTTATTCATGCTTCAAATTTTCTAAAAAAAAATTAACTTTACTCACCAAAATTAATTTAGCATTTTTTAATATATACTTCTACGATGTAGTTTACTAATGTAATGTTTTTCGTGCGATCGTCAAGTATGAGGCATTGTAAATAAATCTGAAACGCGAAATGCAGTAAACACAATGTGATCTCATTATTATTTCCGGCACGCCCGTGAATGCCCGAAGGTTACGCACTCGCTATCTGTTTTGTACAACACACTAGCTAGATACAAAATGGACTACGCACGGTGCTCTAGTGCAGATATTATGTAGTTATCGAAGTGATTTAACGGTCTATCGTGGGGATACCGTTGTTACGTTAAGTCGTGCCAACGCGAACCGAGTTTTCTTGGCGAGCGTTTTCGTCCGAGAAATTGCGAGAGAAAATCGCGAGAGCTAATATTCATCGATTCGCTCTGTTCGTAATATCGTTAAAACGTTCTGGCAAACCATCGATCCCGATTCGCTGCGGCCCGTTTTTCGGTCGGGTGCATTAAGGCGTCTAATCGAAAATTACGTAACCTCGCGTGATCTGAGAAAAGCTACCTTTGCGAACGCGAGAGAAAGATAGAGAAAGAATTGCACTCGAGCTCTTCGATAACAGTCAGATCCACTTTCGGGTCCTCGATGGTCATTATCCCAAAAAAAGAGAAGCCCGTATCTCTCTAAATCCAATTCAATTCAATTAAATTAATCACTTGCGACCGACCTGTATAATCGAGCGCAGGAAGACTCTTAATGCAGAAAGCTCGCAAGGTCAAGGTGGAATATACGTCGGAAGTATACGTCGGAAAGCTTCCTCGAGCTTCGCGATAAAATTGTAATTCTGACCTGTGCTCGTCGAAAACTCGCAACGAATCGTTTAAAATCTTAAAGTCTAACAACTTGCGCATATATGTACATTGCCTAGATATATAGACAGAATTTAACGCGCGTTTTTAGATAACGGAACGCCCCAGAACTCCCGTCGATAGGATAAAATTACAACGGATATCCGCTCGTGTCGTGAATAGCGAAACGGTGGGCTTCTCCTTCGGGCGCGGTCGTGAGAGGTCGACATTCCTAAGCATGCAGCGTGAATCGTGACGGAGAGACATGACAAAAACCAATAATTTCCATGTAAACACGGATGAGGGACGAGGGTTCTCGAAACACTCGAATCGAGAATGCTGGCAAATGTAACGCACGCAACTCGTTTCGATTCACTCCACGCCATTGTTCAATAACGAAATAAAGAAAATTAATAGACGCGATATGACAATCGCAAGTTTACTTTACCATTTCCACTTTGCCGACATGCAACACAAAACATAAAAAAAAATTAATTTCTTCGCAGACACTCCTTATATATCGCAAACACGATATATATGCTGCGCGCACAGTTAAAAATTAAAATAATATAATTAACGTACTCGAGAAATTTAATTTTTGAAATTTGTGTTGTGATAGTGCGATGTTTGTGCGATGTAGACACTTTTGAAAAGTGGAAAAATTGAAGGGGTATTGGGCGATTGAAAAATCAATCTCAAGTCACCTTGAGACCGTCACCGTGGATTGAGATCGTGGAGAGGTATGCGGAGCTGAGAAGAGAAAGATGCAATCAACGTATATACCGAATTGAAAATTCCTCGTGTTTCGTATGCGCTTTCGACGCGATGACGCTCGAGGAAAGGAAGGAAGGAAGGAAGGCGGTTTTCCCACTGGTAAGAAGAAATTAACACAACGCATCCTCGTGGATATTCCAGGCGACGTCGCAAAGGACGGCGTCGCGCGTGTGAGTGGGTCTCCTTGAGCTCGGTAGTGCATATCTCCGTTGTACGATGCACTCTCTTTTGCTACCTACGCCGAGCACGGCCTGGCAGGGCAAGGCAAGGCAAGGCAAGGCAAGGCGAGGCGAGGCGAGGCGAGGCGAAGCGAGGTAAGACAAGGCAAGGCGAGGTGAGGCGAGGCGAGGAGATGCGAAGCGAAACGAAGCGAAGGAGAATTCCACGATATTGTTTTTTTTTTTTGTGCAGAGCGCGGAAGAATTCGTATTTGCGATCGTCAATTGAACGGAATCAAACATGGATGATGATGATGATGATGATGATGAGAAGAAAATGCTTAGAAGAGGATAATTTCTTGAGAGATGTAATGATCGTAATTTGTAAACGACCGTTTCTCAGAATCTTATTAAAATAAATGTGAAGGGAATATCTGGTGAGATGAGAAATGATGAGAAAATGACGAAATAGATAAGATATAGGAAAGAAAACATGATAAAGAAGTAATAATAGAAGATATATTATATGTTATATTAATAGCATTTGTTCTTTCGAAGGCTGCAATGAATCGCATTTGCCATTATTAGTAGCTGACAGACTTGCGTGTTGACGTAATGGGCGTGTTGAGTCGACCGCGTAACATCACACTGTTACCACCCACTGTAAAACAGAGTCTTGTACGGTTGTGTAGATCGCATCGTGTCGAGCATCGATATGAAATACAAGTTACACCGAGATCGATAAGAGTTGGCTTGAATCGTGTGTACATAAAAAAAATTTGATAAAACTTTATGGCGTATCAATTTGATGATATACGAGTCGCTTAAATCTTCGCGCATGTGAAACGTTCACTTCCACTACGAAATATTCGCAAAACACGTTTAATAATTCTTGAAAATTCTTAAAAATTATTTATATCTATTTTCATTTAGTTTTGCACATTTAATAATTTCAATATTTTAAACAAAGACAAGAAATCTTTCATTCGCTACGATTATACAATTATAAATTTTTCATATTGAATATTTTTTAATTTAATATTTATTTCCAACATGACATATTAAACGATTCTGACCTCAAAGTTTTTACGTGTGTTCTCACGTTATTTTTAAACGATAAGACACCTCGAACGGTAAAACTCGCGCACTTTTCACCAGAAAAATGCGGCCACGAATCTTTTAAGATGGGAATGATCGCAGAATACGCTTCGCGCGGTCGTCAGAGAATCGCGGTGCCACGAATCCGCGCACGACGCTTCCTAACGTTATTAACGTAAATGAGTTAACGGGTGGTAGATGTGAAGAAACCGGAGAAATACAAATGACACAACACGGGGGAAAGCACGCACCTTTAGAATTTCAGAGAAACGAGAAATTAACGATATACGCCCGTCGTTACGTGCGTCGTACAATTTAACTTTCGACAAATTCTAAAAGGTCTCAATCTTGAAATATAACGATCGTTAAGTGAAAAAAAAAAAAAAAAATTTGACTACGAAATAATACAATGCAATTTTACGGCATAATTAACCGCCCGGTATATATATATATATATATATATATATATATATATATATATAT